TCCTGTCCGTTTCTCGTTCTCTCTTGGTTGTTGTGTTTTTTTTTGGCTGTGGTTGCTCTCTCCATCTCTCTCCTTTTCTCCTCCACACGCGCACTATACGTACATGTCGATGCATGTACACGCATACACATGGATACAGAGATGTGTATATATAGATATATGTATGTATGTGTGTATATATATACATGTGCGTGCATCGCCATAAATGTTTACACGCATGTTTCGTTATGTGTGGCTTTTGTTTCTCTCTATATGTCTAGATCTTTCTCTATCTCTTATATTGTTCTTTCTCAGTTTCTCTCTCTCTCTCTCTTGCTCTGTCTATCTCTCTCTCTCTCCTTCTCTCTCCGTCTCCCACGTATCGACTCGAAAACTTCGCTCAGAACGAGCCCAAACGCCAAGCGCCCCGCATCCGTTCTTGCCTCGCAAGACCACACACGGACCGTCCCAGGCCGTGACAGGTTGGCGGTTGGTGTCGCCTTTACTTTTATTCCACTCGCGCGCGCCGTGGCCCCGAAAAGTCCTTGCCGTGAGCGCCCCAATCCTTCGCGGCCCAAGCCACCAGGCAGGGGCCGCCAAAAGGCAACCCTACCGGGTTGCAAACTGTCCCAAAACTAAGCCTTCGTCGCACCGCTTCACAGCAGTGGTGGCGTCGACCGAACAGCCGCTGCATATAACGAGCTGGCCCACAAGCGCACGACCGAACAGGACATCGCATATCAAGAACACCGGCCCAACCAGCACAAGCTCAGAAATGATCTGATAACACTCAGGAAGGAATCACAGGTGAGCTATACCATGCTGCGCCATTCCCTGACGCACAAAATGGCCGTGACTCGCCAGCGTCCACGGCAACGGCCGATGCACGCCGGGCATCGACACTGCTCCACTCGTCAGCCTCGATGCGCAAAACTGGGATACGCCCATCGCCCTTGCGTCTACTAGCGGCGGGCGGCAGACCATGCACCAGCAGCATCGCACTGCGCGCGCTAGAGGGAAATTGCCTCCAGCAGCAAATCCGCTTGCAGGAAAAGCCCATTGCCACGGCTGTCTTGGGTCCAGCCAACACCGGCACCCCAGGTGAAGAAAGCCTCGCCCATTTTCTCCGGACTACCAAGCCCGCGCCAGGACGCATCCAGGGAACAATGTGACAACTGGGTCGCGCTGAAGTCACATGCCTCCAAGACCCTGTCCAAGTCGCACTGGGCCCCGCGGACAATGTGATTTGGGTCCGCGGAGCCATCGGCGACAGGGGCGCCATTGCCGTCGCGCCGCCCCTCCAAGGGCTCTTCACGTCACAGTTCTCACGAGCCCCACCAACCAACGGCACGCGGCATCCAGGAAGAACGGGCACGGCCCAATCCAGGGCCAAGGAGCGTCCCAAGGGAACCAAGGGTAACCACTGTAGTCTGCCCTTGCGCAGCATGCTTCGTCACTGCCGACGACGGCGTCGCCGTGAACTGCGTCGGCTTGACTCTTGATGCTGTATGCTTCCGATATCCGCTCATGTGCCACTGGCGCCCTTTCGATGGAAAGATTGGTCACGGCCCCGGCTCGCGGCCTGGAAGGCGCCGTTCCTTCGTGTGAGGATCTAACGCACTGGCTCGGGGCAAGTGCAGCAATACCTCCTCGTCTTCATTTCCCGCGACCTCGTCCTCGTGCAGAACCCTGCCCCGCAGGAACTGTATCTTCGGCCGATCTAGGTGGTCCCCCAAAGCAACTGGCATGCCCTTCGCCAGCGGTGGCCACCCCAGCAAGCTTCGGCACTCCTTGTCGTGGTTCCCAAGCCACCGTCCGTTGTCCTCCACCGTGCGCTGCCGCCTGTGCTTCCCCGCGTGGCACGGGCGATCTCTTGCCGCAGCCCACCAGAGCTGCTCGCTTCGCTCCTTCGCCCACTGCGAAGCCCTCTGCTTCCCGACGTGGCACCGTATGTCCTCTTTGGCGAAAGTAACAACGGCCTGGAACAATTCCTGTTTTCGAAATCGCGCGTCGTCCGGCGACGTCGCCACGAATTTCAAGTTTTTTTCGCTCACCTTTGCGCACCTCACACTGCCGCACAGCGCTTCCACGTTCACCCACGATCCTGGCACATCCGTTAGTCTCCAATATGCAAGAAACTGCGCGTACGTTGTGTCAGCGCACCTCGCCGAAGTCCACGTTGCACTTCGAGGAACCAGCAGTCTTGGTCAGCCACGCGATTGCAATTCGTCAACTCCATCATCCCCTGCACTGCCCCGTCGCCTCCGGCTCCCCAGAAAATCTAATGCCCGTTGTCTTCCGTGGCGCCTGGCGCATGCTTCCTCGCAATCTCCAGGCACGGCATGCGCGTTGATTCCTGATGCAGCCTTGATCGTTCAACCTTGAAAAATCATCGACTGTCCGATCGCTGGACAATTCAACAACACCGGCCGCTGCACCACCGCTGGCGGCGTTGGACGCCGCCGCGCCGCGCGACGCGAACCCACCGTGCCCCGAGGCCTGGCCCCGAAGACGGGGTCCGCGAGTGCCCCCAGCGGCGGTGCGCACCTCTCCTGAACCTAAGGCGCTCGCCAGGCCTGGACGCCGTAGGGGAAAGCGCCTCCAGCAACGAGTTGGCGAAGGCCCGCGCGCTCCCGCGGCGCGCGCGCGCGCCGGGTGCTCGGGCGTGCGGCGCGGCAAGCCACCGCACGAAACCAAACCGACTCGCGGGCGCTCGCCCCCGGCACGGGGACGCGATCGTCGCAAGGAAGCACGATAGGCTGAGTTCAACCGATGTACCCCGTACGCTGATAGACTACACCGACCCCTTATGGGTATACAGGCGTGTGAGTTCCCCCCCCCATCAATCCCGCCCCGGGCCCCCAAACTAGAGATCCGACCTCCCCTCAACCGGCCCCGAACGCGGCCAACAAGGTTCCAAAACGGCCAACAAAAAGCGCCCAAGACGGCCTCGGCGAAGCCCGGGGCGGCCCCGAGAGGGTCCCAAGACCAACGCGAGCCTTCCGATGCACCCAGGAGGCCTCAAGGTGTCTCCGAAAGGCTCCAAGAGGCGGCCGAGCGGCCCCGAAGAGGCGCCAGGAGTCTTCGACACTGCTTCCAGGAAGCCCCCGAGAAACCGCATAAAGCAATCGCAAAGAAGTTGTCAGGATCTCTGGGTCCGAGATCCTCCAGGGGCCTCCGAAAGCGAACGAGAATCTTCGCGTACGTCCGACAACCTCGGAACACCTCCGAACACCTCCGCACCCTTGCGAATGCCTCCGAAAGCCTCGGGCCCGCAGAACCAGCAACGAATATCGCAGTTCGCGGTCGGCTCCGGCTCCCCTCCTGATTGCTCATCCTCCTACTCCGCGTTCTCCGAGGAAGCCCCAGCGCGTGAGAACTGCCTCCGTACAACTCTCCAAAATTCCCAGCAGCCGAAAGAACACCCAACGAATGGACCTAAGGGGTCGGCGGATGTGGCCTAAGCCTGTAGAATCCCTATCCCTATCTACCCCTTCTCTCTCTCTCTCGTTCTCTCTCTCTCTCTCTCTCTATATATATATATTCCTCTCTCTCTCTTGCTCTCCCTGTCTGCCCTTCTCTCTCTCTATTTCTGCCTCTCTCCCTTTCTTCCTCAACATCTGTATACACATACATACATACATACATACATACATACATACATACATACATACATACAAACATACAAACAAACAAACATACATACATACATACATACACACACATACATACATACATACATACATACATACATACATACATACATACATACATACACACACACACATACATACATACATACATACATACATACATACATACATACAAACATACACACACACATACATACATACATGCATGCATGCATGCATGCATGCATACATACATACATACATATATACATACATACATATATGTATATGCATATACATATATATGCATACATATATATGGGTGTGTATATATGTATGTATGTATGTATGTATGTATGTATGTATGTATGTATGTATGTATGTATGTATGTATGTATATATATACACATATATATATATATCAGTCTCTCTCTCTCTCTCTCCCTCCCTCCCCCTCTCCCCCATTATCTCCCTACCTCTCCCTCCTTCTCCATGCCCCCGCCTCCCTCTCCTTCGTCCCCGCGCCCCCCCCCCGTCCCAGGAGCGTGGAGACGGGCGCCCTCGCCCTCCACGCGGCCCTGGACGCGAGGGGCCCACCGGACGCCACCGCCCCGCGCCACCGGTCCGGGCCTCAGGAAAAAATGGCGAGCACTCCTGCCGCCTTCATCTGTGAACGCCTCCCCCTCCCACAAATGTTCAGAGCTGCCGGTGGGTCTGGTGAGTTGCGCCTCGACCGAAAGTCTCCCCCGCGCGTGCCAGCTTTGAGCTTGGGGTTATGTTGCTCCCATCGTACTCAAAGACCACATCCCAGAAATCATTTCGAGCACCCGGGAAAGTGCCGGAAGAGTGTCGAAACAGTGTCGGACGAGTGTCTCCCAGGGCCCGACGCGTGCAAACCCTGGAGTTTAGGTATATTTTTTCTGGTGTTCGGAATTCTTTCTGGTGATCAAGGCTAAAGGTAGGTTGGAGCATCATAAGGTTGGGGGGCAGGGGGGGTGTTCACTAATTGTTTCCCCCTACAGGGCAATTTTTCATGCATCGGATTTTTTTTTTAAATATAGGATTTTGATACATGAGTAATTCATGAATAACTTCGTGCATGAACTCATTGCTGTTTTTATACAAAATCCCTGCATTGTTCATACATGTTCCGCACGCGGAGCATAGATGGTTATACATATATGTATTAAGAATACTCTGTACATATATGTTTACACCATGTTTTAAACATATGTTTAACAACTATTTAAAAACATATAGAACTTTTAGTATATCTATGTATATATATATATATGTATATATTGCTGATTTTCCATAAAAAAAACGGCACTGTACCGTCCGACCTCTGCCCGCGCCGTGCCCCGCCCTGCCCCCCCCCCCCCGAAAGGC